AAAGTCTGCCTCTTCGGTTCCTTCATTGCGTAACGCATCATTGGTTCTGTCAGATTCCGTCAGCATATTTCTTAGTGAGTAAGATCCCTGATTGGCTGCTTAGCATTTCAAATGAGTTCTACATTTAATGTTATTGTTATTTTTTTTAGGCTTGATGCATGAATGGGAAATAAAATCACAAATGTACAAAATAATCTATTTGATGAGTTACGGTAGTTCAAATCTCAACAAACCCAGTTGAGCTAGAAAAGTGTTGGGCTTTGAATAGCGAAGTATTAACAATGTCATTTGTTTCGATAATATTTCCATCTAATGCCACTTCATCAGGAATTGTTGCCATTCTTCTATGCAGCTCAGACTCAGTCAAATTTGCTAGAAAGCATCTATAGACTGCAATTTTCAATATGATTCCAAGTCAGATTTAGGTTTGGACTTTGAATGTGGCATTGTAGCATATGAATATTCTTTGATCAATCAATCAATCAAATTTTATTTGTATAGCACATTTCAGCAGCAAGGCATTTCAAGGTGCTTTACATAATTAAAGAAAAAAATAAGAACAGCATGTGATATTGAATAAACAGTAAGAAAGAGAAAGAGATTCTGAAAAAAAGAAAAAGATTAAAAAAGATAATAATAATAAAAAAAAGATAAAAACATACTTTTGTTACGGAATATAAGTGCCTGTCGTCGCCGGACTCTGCCATACGTTTAACTAAGCTATTATATGGTTGTTGTCCCAAAAGGAAGATCTCAAGTCAATTGTAGCCCTCAACAAGTTTTCTTAAGGTATCACTCTGTATTCCCTCCATCTATATTCTGATCAACTAAAACCATTTTTCCTTCACCTGCTGAACAAAAGCATTTACACAACACAAGCTGGACTACATCTGGAGCAAACTTCAAGAAAACCACAAAACTGTTGAAACACTGAGTTCCTTTAAATTAAAAAGCCATTTGTTGAGAGCTGGGTTGGATTAATATTTACTAGAACATGGATTAATTCTGGTCTGGATTACAACTTTTCATGACTTCTCTTTTTTTATACCACTGAAATGTAATGTTGTTTTTTTTGTTTGTTAATTGTGTGATCTTTTTATCAAGTAAAGAACTTTAAACTGCAGAAATGTGCCACAAACAAACTTGATGGTGGTTCACATCAAATTACAATACTGTAGGTGAAAAGATCAGTTTGGATTCAAATACTGGAAAGTCATCTATGTATTTTATTTTACCTTTATCTAACCAGGTAAGATCATTTAGAGTAAATTCTCATTTTCAACAGCGACCTGTTCAGAAAACATTAAAACATCACTACTATCCATAAGTGTAAATTCAAATTACTTAAAAGTTTTTTATCCATAGTCACTAAAGAGTAACTACATTCTAAGACATTTGTCTGGAAGGTTAGCCCACACACAAACTGTGCTTTTACTTAAATTCACTAATTGCTAAATTTTTAATTTATAGTGTCTTAAAGATAAAATTTAATCAACTAACTTTTTAAGCCATAAAGAGAGTTTAAAATGTATTCAGGGTAATCTTCATAAATACAAATGAATTTCACACCAAAAACCTTTATGCAATGGATACTGTCTACTCTAAATGACTGAAGTTTATCCCTTTCCATGCATTGAATTTAATATGTTAAAGGTTCTGTCTTTTCAGGTGTGACCTTATGTGCAAATTCTAACATATTCCTCTATTATCATGTGTCATGTATTTTTACTCATTGTGTTTATGAAGATGTAAATGTTTTTTTTCTTTTTTTATTTAACCACCTTAACAACATAATTGGCAGATTTTCTTTTCTTCTAACCACGTCAAGAATTTTTGGATGGCTACCAGCTGTAGTAACAGTCGATGATGCTCTGCTGTTTTTGCCCAGGCCATCATTTACTGGGACACGCTGAATCCCTGTACTACACATGCTGGGACAGAGGATGTTGCGCTCAAAGGATGAGCAATGATGAACCTCGCAGCTGTTCTCTTCCTCCAAATACAAAGTTATCATGCATAATTTGATCATTTACACATTCAACGGCTCAACTGAATTGGTTGTTGAGAGAATGAATCATTAAACTTTCATAAATTCCTCAATACTCTAGCTCTTCAAAACTAGTCATTCCATCTGATGAAAAAATGTTAAGTCGTGTCCACACCTTGTTCGTGTGAAATGACAGGTATTGGCTAATTCATGTAACAGTGAGGGGTCCCGATTCCATTTGCCATTACAGAACTTGTGTTTCTAATCATCACTATCTAGACGAGTCTCACCATATGCAAGCAGAGTCCTGCTGAGACACTACCCAGACTGCACTCAACAGTGACATGAAACAAAGCTTTGCTTCACAGCTGGTGTCAGACTTACATGATCTGAGGACATTGCATGTTGTAAATGATTTTTTTAATGGCAGCTGTAACACGTCACTGAGGTCTCTGAGCACCTTCTACATATATATATATATATATATATATATATATATATATATATATATATATATATATATATATGTGTGTGTGTGTGTGTGTGTGTGTGTGTGTGTGTGTGTGTGTGTGTGTGTGTGCTTTACAGAGAAAAAGCCACTGGTGACTGAAATCTGAGAGTTAAACTGACAATCGGCTATGATTGGTGACCCAGACACTCAAAAATGTAATAATGTTTCAATCTGTGAACTTAACATGCTAAGCACAACCTGGTTTGTGCTCACAACAACAATACTTTTACCAGAAATGGGTGGTACCTAATTACATTTTCTGTTATGATTAGTTGTATATGTTTTTAAATGCAATTTTAAGACTGGTTTTACTGTACAGTACTTTTTTTACTTAAGTAATAATACTAAAGTATTTTTTTATTAGCTATAATTGGTAAATCAGCATAATTAGCAAAATAATTGTCTGTCTAGGTGTAAATAACCCATGTAAGGCGTTTCACAGTTAAGTTACTGAAATAAATGACCCTCTTTAAAAATATTTTAATTTATTGAATGGGTCTATACAGTTCTAGCAACAAGGTCTGTGGTTTAGCTCCCAGTTAGAGAACTTTCTGAATGGAGTTTGTATTCTCTCCATGTTTATCCGTGAGTTTTCCAGCTTCCTCTCGGGGTCAGAAAGCATCAATGCCCACTTCTCAATTACCCTCAGATCCTGTTGTTTGACCTATGTGTTTCTGTGATGGACAGGTGAACTGTCCGGCTTGAATCCTGCCTCTCGGCTGTTGACTGACAGAGATAATCAACAGCCCTCCAATTATAATCTGGAAGGATTAAGCGGCAGAAAAGAATATTTCCTTAAAGAGAAATTGGCTAAATCGGTATTGGAGGCTCAAATTTTCTTAGTTCTTGTTCTCATCTTTGGACTTAATGCTACCGTTTCTGCTGGGCTGCTGTTTTGCCTCATAACCATTTGGATGTTTGCAGCGACAAAGAAGCGAGAACAAAACCACAGTGAAGGCACTCCCACATGGAGCACAGTGAGATAATGAAGGTACAACACGGACAGCAGGTTTTGAGCTGAATCAGTGAAAGGCTGTTTCTGAAAAAGAAAACTGGTTCTCGTTGGAGGTGCTTTATGAAAAAATGACATTAATAATAAAAAGTGTGTTTTTTTTTTCTTCTGTCTAAAACAGAAAAAGACATGCAAAGCTCTCGGCAGCATTAAACATGCTTCTGGATGTGCGACTAAATGGGTTTAAACAGCGAGAAGAGGAGCTGCTGTCCATGGTGCTGATGCTGAAGTGGATTTGCTTTCATTCTCCCATCTTCTTGAATAATTTAAATGTTTTTAAAACTTGCAACAAGGATCAGAAATTTGGGTCAGCTTTGTGGTACAACTAAGACCAGATGCCTAAAAAAAGCAAGATAACTTTTAATATATATATATATATATATATATATATATATATATATATATATATATATATATATATATATATTAGCACATGCTGTACCTTTTACTACTTCTAATGTGGCTTTGCAGTGTGCTTACAGGAAAACACAAGTCTATTATTTGCTCCTTTTTCTGCAGCAGGCCACTGTGCATGGGCAGAGGTAACACACTGCCCACTGCTGGACAGCATCAGGCTCTCCATTTGTAGTTAATGAAGGTCAGAATAGAAGAGAAGGAGGTGGAGAACAACAGCTGTAGATTTTAAAGAAAAGACTGAAGTAAATTTCCGAAAAACGCCAACTTTACTTCCGTTATTTGAGTCCTTCTTGCTCTACCTTATAAGATATTTTCTGTGTTTCAACTACTGACTGAAAGTTTATTAATATTACAATGTTTGTAGCTCTGTTTTCATTCTTTTTGTTACACACAGCAAGCGCTGAATGATCGATGAAGTAACCTACTTTTGCTTCAAGCTCTGACTGCAGCGCCTCCTCTTAACTGGACAAACTGAACAGAAACTAGTCACCAGACTCAGCCAAATCCTGAGCCAGCTCACTGTTTTCTGTTAGTGCCCCATGAGAAGTCACGATGAGATCACGCATCACCAAACTAACAGGGGCTACAGCAGCCTCCTGGCCAACTGAATCCAAAATGTCACCGAGAAACTTCGCTTGTTTTAAGATCCGGATGCGAAACAAAAGACAAGCCAAGCCGATGTTGTCAAAAACTGGAAGCTGCCTTGTGCAGCCCAGCATGGATGTTGGTTGCTGGATGCTGAGGCAGCTTCACAAGGGGATATAACAGGATACTGCAGCACAAGAGAACCGTGTGCACAGAAAACTTGCCCAGGAGCATCAGGGAGTCCCGCACTGAGCTTCTCCCTCCCCTTTCCCTCTGCCTCACTGTCTCACTCCACTTCAAGTCTTTGCAATGAAAACAAATAAAAAATATAGATAAAAAGGTAAGTAGAAATGTCTCATTTTGTAAAGAATACTAATCACTGAAGATCAAGATCAGCATTTTTTTTTTTAAAGCCATCTGTGTCTCTCCACTACAGACCCATAAAAAGTGAAAAGACTGCAGCTTAAGAAGCAAACGCAGCAGCTTACCTTCTGTGCAGGATGTTCCCCCTGACAATGAGATGTTCCCTTTCTCCGCAGACTCCGAGACACTTTGAGATAGAGAGAAAAAGAATGAGTCTCCTCTTACTTTCTCGTACTTCCAGTTTCAGACCAAATGCAAATCTGACAGAGCCCAGAACACACACCTTTACACTGACAACTCCACCACATAAACCCTCACAACCCTGCAAATGCACCCCAAGACTGAAGTACCACAATTTGATGAAGATTTGCTCAGTGTTGGGGGGGAGGGATGAAAACTACACACACTCACACACTGCAGTTTTTTTTTCCTTTTTTTCGTCCTCTTGCCCACTCTCCCGCTCGCTTTTATCCAGCTATCTTTACCCTGCGCTGCCTCCTGATTGGGTACACGGCTTTTCAGTAACATAAGCTCTCTTTTTTAATTGGAAGGGAGCCAGTAATGTGGTGCAGCAGAAACCCTCCCGCCCAACTCATCCTTTTTTTTTTTTTTTGTTTGTTTTTTTTTTTTTTTTTTTCCCTTCCCTCCTTCCTAAGTGCCTGTGGAGAAGAATGCTGAGCTCGGCAATTTCCTACGCGTCGACCAAAGAATACAACGGGAATGGAGGACAGAGAGAAGTGGGAGTAGGAGGAGGAAGAAAAGGGATGGGGTGTGTGTTAGTGGTGATGGAAGGTGGGGGGGGGGGAGAACATTTGAGGCAGATTATTATGCTGCAGCGGGACAAGCAGGCAGGCAGGGGAACAAAGACGAGGAGGGGACTCAGGTGTGGTGAGAGATGGGTTTGGATGCACTGGCTGGTTCTGCCCGTCGCAGCAGCGTGACAGCAGGTCAGATGAAAGCAGCAGATTTCTCTGCACTCACTGCAGCGCAGCTAGGTGGCTCTGCTGCAGTGTGAGTCTGACAGCCAGGCAGCAATGGGGGGATGGGAAGGGAGAAGGAGGAGGAAGAAGGAGGAGGAGGAGAGCTACGGATGGCTGCAGTGATGCCGAAGTACAGCCTTCCAGGATGTCTTTGACTTGAAGGAGGGGGGCAAAAAAAGGGGGGGCCATCCAGCCACAGAGCTCACTGTGGTTAATGCATTCACCTTATGAATTATTGAAAGCGTCCCAAAGGAGAATGGGAGGTCTGGCGGTTCAGACCGCCTCTCTGCTGCCGCTGCTAAGGTTCCTGATTATTGCAAACACCCGTACATGTCCTCAGCTGGTACCTTAAAAACAGCGTGCCCTAAAATAAAATATAATAAAATAAAATGTCTCCTCAGTCTACTTTTATTTCATGATGCACTGAAAGATTTCCTGCTCAGCAAATGTGTGAGATTGATTTTGTGGTGTCAGATTTCTTCCTCCCCCTCCTCTTTTTTTTTTTTTTTCTTTTTTTGTTTTTGAAACCACTCACATCTGGTCTATTGTGTCCCAGCTGCACTTAAGCACAATACCCGAGCAGATCAATAATGGACCATACAATACCTCGACCATCTGCACGGGCCACAATGAGCACACCACAAGTTATATTTGATGAGCCTGCTCAGTCAACACCATCATGGCAGATGAGAGAATAGCAAAAGGAAATCTGATGAGTTGGACTAAAGGTTCAAATGTAAGACATTTTGAATGTGGAAGATGTGTTTTTTTAGCATATAATATTTTATAAAAGTCTGCCATTGCATTTTCTTTCATGTGAAGGAGAAAATATACATGACTTAAAATTTGTCTATGGATGAAATCAACACTCCTTTAACAAGTCAGACTCTTGGTAATTGAGCTAGGTAGATTTTAAGGACATAGTTATAAGCTTGCTTTAATTTGGGTTAAAGCTGAAGGATCACATAAAATCAGAATACAGTTAAACTTATGTTACCTTCAAGGTGAAATAATGTTGCTTTTATTTTCCTGAAACATAGTATTGATATAACAAGTCAGAAATTATAGAGGGACACAAGATGTATGGTTATTATAGTGGGAAGGGATGACCTGTTCCTTGTTGCAGCAGAGCTGGAGAAGCTTTGAACTGAATATGCTCTCTTGTTTATTCTATATGTTGTACAGAAAATGTTAGGTGTCATGTATTATGTTGAGAGTCCTCTGCAGCACTTTTATCTGAGGAATATGAGTTTCAAAGCAGTTCTCGGCAGGGAGGCTGTCTTTTTTTTTTTCCACTTAGCTTGACTCGTTTCAGCCAGAGGCAAAAGTACCACAATGAAGACTCAGTTTCCTGCCATTGATTCATAGACGATGCAAAACTTATTGCAAACACTGATGCTGAACTCTAGACTTAGATCTTTGAGATAGAACAGGGGATGCGAATCGTGACAAAGGGGAAAAAAGGATCGAATTTGGTATCAAGCTACAAACAGTGGTCCAAAAGGAACGTTAGGCAGGTAAAATACAATAGTTATGCCTACTTTTTTTTTTTTTTTGACAAAAACATTTATTGTGAAACTACAAAATTCTTGAAGATTTAGCTTTCCTGTGAATCTGTAAACCAAAACTGTGAAACGGTTTGCTGACTGTGGAGATTTTTAAAATGAACCTGAAAACTCTTATTGTTCCAATGTTTTTACCAAGATTTTATTTCTTGTTTTTATACTTTCTATATCTGTGATTTATGTTGTGCAGTATATTGTGACTTTTATGTCTTTGAAAATCGCTTTATATATAAACTTTGCTCACTATTTGGTTAAGACCACGATTTCTGAGGATTACCTTCACATTATTTCAAAGGATGACCTTTACCTGTTCACAGACACCATCCTCTGGTGTCTCTTTGTTACAGACACCAGAGGATGGTGTCTGTAACAAAGTTATTGGAATAAATTCTACAATTTCCTTGCATTTCTTAGTTTTGCCACAAAAATTAATTACCAAGATTTGTTACCAAACAAGACCCAGGAATTGGACTGAACAGCCTATAATATAAATCTGTTTGGTTTGGAACCAAGAAGCCTCCTGCCAACTGGCATGTTGGTCGGCAGGCCATGATAGGGGTTTGATATCATGTTACAGCAGGTACTTCTATAAAATTTCCTCTTCAGCAGGAGGCAACAGGACCTCTAAGTATTTTGACCCAAAAATACCAATTTTGCTTTCATTGCGTCATTTCTCGTCATTCCAGTAAGTTTGGCAAATTGTAACCTTTTTTAATTCAATTCAGTTTCTTTATAAACTGCTAATTCACAACACATAAGGCAATTTACAAAAAAAAAAAGTCATTTAAATTCAATCATATAAGCATTCCAATTGATTCTACTTATCATATAGTGCATCAAGTTAAACTTATTATTCAAATCAGTTAAAAAAAATAAGTGAAATATGCAGATTGCATATGTCATTGATTGGTAGCATTCACATCGCCTGAATGTCTGTGCTTCTTTATATGTTACCCCCTCTTCAATTACCTTTTTTTTTTTTCTGGAACGACCGGTTTCATCCAAATTTTCAGGGGAATCCTGTGTAACCAGCATGTTCACTGGCCGCCTTCTTTCTTCGATTAGGGCCACCTGCTGGTTCACAAGATGAATGACCTCACTGACTGAACTCTACAATGGAAAAATCATTAAACTAATCAGTTCTCAGAATCAGCACCATTTACATCACATCATCTCTCTGTTACAAATTGTAGTAAATAAACTGCCATGTAGAAATATATTTTCTACAAAAATAGAGCTTGATGTGCTTAATGGCGTCGGACTGCTATTACCGGACACAACTGGAGCTCTATGCATTGTCGTAGTAAATTCACAGTAAAACAGATGTAAAGAAATTAAAAAAAAATAATAAAAAAAACTTGTAGATCTGCTAAAATAAAAGATTTATTAGAACATAAATGTGAAGGCAATGGTTGGATTTCTGGGTGCTCTGACACACAGAAATCTACATTACTTACAAACTGGGTTACAATTTTACAACAAAGTTAGATAAAAAGTGTTTTGACTGACGTGGCAGCAAGGTCATTGATGACGCGCTTCACTACCGAGTCGTTTGTGCAACAGCAAAAAGACTGAAGCCATTCCTTCATGCGTTTATCAAAGGGAAATATGAATTACTCTGTATAGTCGAGCAAAATTCTCTCATCTAATTTAACGAGAAAAAAAAAGTTACATTTTGGGTTTGTTTGGCTATTCAGATAACTCATTTGCCACATTTTAAAACATACTGAAGAAAACATTCTGTAAGCCATTGTTTCATTCTGAACAGCTGGGGAACAAGGCAGGTTATAAAAGCATCAGATGAAAAACGTATAGAATAAAAGAAGCTGTGTGTAGTTGTAAGCGACAAACTGACACTTATTTTAGGATCAAGAGCTTTCCAAACAGTATAATTTCAAAATGCTTTCAAAAAAGCCCTACTGGAGGTGTGTGTTCTAAAGCCAGTACAGTGGTGTGTTTTCTAAAGCCAGTACAGTGGTGTGTTAAACACCTCTTCTGTTAAATATTGAGCTGTTGATAAAAACCTAAATTCACACAAGAGGGAGCCCTGCTGTAATCAGAGAGCAGAAAACTACCAATTGGAGTTTTCTATTAACAGAGCTGCTGAAGAGCTCCACGTCATTTCTTTGCAGTGAAACCGATTTGTTAGAAAATGCATTTTATTTTCAATATAATGATTACATAATTGCTTTTCCACTGGAAAAACTCTTGACTTCATGCTGCAGGAATAATGGAGAAAAGTGCATACAGTGAACCCTGCCAATAATGATTATAAAAACCATGAATCATCGCATATTTTCCTTCATCACTGTGGTCTCTGCTTTCTTGGGCAGACTGTACACGGTTATGGTGATATCCGTCTCTTTAAAGACCTGCTCCAGGATCTGTGACACCTTTGACCACTGCAGTCGGTCCAGGCCACAACCAATTCTGAGGGGGAGACACGAGACAAACATGATGTTTAATCATTCCCACTAAAGAAGAAGAATTAAGGGAAATTACTGAGTAAAATAAAACAAAGAAAAACAGTATTTCTCCACAGTAGCTCCTACAAACCGAGGTATTGATATCCTTTTGACACCATTCTGTAAGCAATGAGTCTTCATGTCTTCCAGACTCCTCCTCAGGCTGTCATATGTGGGTTTCTGGCTGGCTTTTTTCTTTGTTATCTGAGGCACATAATAGGAAAGACGCAGTTACAAGACTGAACAATAAAAACTTTCATTATAATAATTGACCACAGTATGTTTACCAGATAATAGATGAAACGTCGATCATGAGTCAGGACAGCACACTGCCCTGGCACCTTCTCTATTCGGACATGCATAGAAAAATACAAAATATTATGATTTAGTACCCAATGTTGGAACCAGACATTTGAATAAACTTTACAAGGATAAAACTTTTTCTCCTGAAATTCTTCCCCAAACAAAGGCTTATTAATTACTAGTCTGACTCACTCTGCTCCTTTAACGTCAACACTTCACCGAACCTCTTCCTGAACGTGACTGCTATCCCTGCTCCCATGCGGATGTCCTCACTGATGCAGTGGGCCAAAGATTCGTCCCGTGGGCAGGAAAACAAGTCGCCGGTGGCATACTTCAATGTCCAGCTGTCTTCTGAAAGCTAGCCACGAGGGGGCGGCGTTAAACAAGAGTTAAATAACAGCAACTGAAACAATGTGCTCTGACGCACTTACGATTGCTAAATCGTCCAACTTTCATCATTACCTGGATTTTATAAGTGGATGATGGCGCTCGGCTATTAGAAGACACTGAAGACATTGTGTTTAGATCCTGTTTGTTGACTGGATTCAGAAGTAAAATCCGTGAACACCTCTGCCTAAGTAAACACGCAACGCTACGGAGGACTATACGCATGTGCTTCCGACCTTAAGACTAGTTTGATAGTTTTCTTCCAAGTCTTAAAGTGTCTCGTTTAAGTAGCAAAACCTTTAAAGCCGTTCGGAGTTTAAAAACTACACACACAATTGGCTTATACTTAGCTCCACAGCAGGACCAAAGCGGAGAAACGAAACACAATCTAGACTCTCGCGAGAGGAAAAAACGAGTTTTTGAAAAAGTGAAACGATTCGCACCATTTAAATACCAGCGCAGAAAGCGGCGCGGCCGTGACGGCGGAGTATGCTTTCAATCTCAGCCTTGGATTTTGTGACTGGAGAGGGTTCATTAAGAGTAATACTAACATATAATTGTGCCTAAAAGTATCCCCCGTTCTCCCGCCGCAAATAAAGATTAATGGGAAATTTTTAATTGTTCAAATAGTGCAATAAGCATTACACACCCACATCAGGCACACCTCACACAACTAATCAAAGACTTAATTAGTTGCAGCGAGATTAATCAGAACACAGACTTCCTACATCCTCACTTCTTGCTGGGGCATTTGCCAGTTCACTCACACTGACTTTTTTTTTTTTTTTCTAGCAACATTTCTGTTTATCAGCCCAGATCACAATATTCACAATATTTTACTGAAGTTCATGTAAAATAAATAACTTCCCAAGTCAACAAGCCAACTTTCAACTTTTTTTTATTGAACAACTTTTATGCTTAATTCTTGACACAATCAATAGAACACACAGTTACTGCTTTATGGCTGTAAAACAAACCTATAATAAAATAGGTAGCGATTATTTACACTGTTCTTCATTTGCACCAATGCTTCACAGATTGTGCAACTGCTATAAACACATAATCCCTTCAAAAGCAATGGATACATCTAGGTTTTGTGCATATATTTTTATGCCAAAATGCCGTTTTATATACTTGTATGTACAAAATCAACATGGTCACATAAAAGGTCAATGTGATCTCCAGTCTTAGAAGTTAGCACTGCGTCTTCGCTCATTGATCCAGTCACCGGGGTTCACGTCCATCTGCAGCATCTTCATCACCCACTTGTCCCTGCGTGCTCCATCGATAAACTCATCCAGCGAGAGCTCACCTGTGTGACAGCAAAATATAGGTTTTCCATTTTTTGATCCAGTTAACAATGAACACAAGCGCAGCTTTAAATGACACCAAAAACACAAACTCTCACCATCTCCATTTTCATCGACCAGCTCAAATATCCGGTCAACCACTTGGTCTGGGGTAAGCAGATTACATTCTTCATCCAGCTCCCCGTGGCAGGCTTTCTTTAGCCGATAAATAGACTGTAAGTGACAGGAAAGGACGTCACCATGACTTCTTGCACATCTATTTTTAAGCAAGCATTGAAATGAACACTACTGCACGTGTGAAAGTAATTTAATGGAAATATTACCTCCACAATTTCAAGAAGTTCTGTTTTGTCGATGCATCCACTCCCATCTTTGTCGTACATTTTGAATGTCCATTTAAGTTTATGTTCCAATTTGCCTCGAAGAACTAAGTTTAAAGCTGCTACGTATTCCAGAAAATCTATGGTGTTGTCCTGTGAAATCAGAGAGAGTTCAAATGTAAAAAAAAAAAAAAAAAAAATGAGATGAAATCCTAAAGAGGCAACATTGTTGCTATGCAAAATGTCAAACAAGATACATTTATTCAGAATGTCTGGAGACATTTAAGGTGACAAAATCATATTTTTAAAAAAAATATAAAAATAGAAAAAAAATTAAAGAATACAGAGTAACAATTAAAGTGCGACCCACTTTTGAGTTTGTTTGAGCTTTTCAACTACACTTGAATTGCTGTTATTGCTGTTAAACACATGCAGTGTCATCCAACCACATAAATTATTTGATTCATTTCATGTGCACAACATTTTAAAGTTATTTTCAGAGCAAATAATATCAGAATTGAGGCCCAATGTACTTACGCCGTTCTTGTCAAAGGCTCGAAACATGTTCTCGATGTAATCTGCGGCCTCCTTGTTGTCGGTGACACCAAAAAAACTCTTGAACTCGTGCATGAATAGTGTTCCACTTGGGCACTCCACGACAAATTTCTTGTACCATTCCTGCAGCTCTGCCACATCAATTTCCTTGTCGGGGTCGTTGTCTTCGCTCAGGCGCTGACCCATGACGGGAAGGTTTTCTGTAACTCCCCCGAAACTCAAATTATTTCTCACATTACAAATAACCAGTTTAAGATTTGTAGCTGCTTTGCTGCCTTCCTTCTCTAGAAATCAAAATCTATAAATTCCAGTTCACATCAACAAAATGGTTTCTGTAGCTTTTTGTTAATCAGCAAAAATGAAAGTAATCAATAAAAAGCATAAAGGTCCATACAAGCAGTACAGTTATTAGCCTCGTTGTTGTGGCAAATCCCTTCTGAAAGTGAGGATGAGACACAGACTGCTGTGGGTCACATGGTAAAGGATTAGAAATGAAGACCTGTCAAAATCAATCATGCAATCATGAAGGGATATCCTTCTCAATCACAGTAAACAAAGAAACATCTTAGCATTGTCTGTAAGCCTTGTGGGCTCTACATCCTTAAAATAGGTTCCAGGAATATATTCTATACTATATTTAGTTTAAAATATATTTAAAGTAAATACTTTTGTTTTTTAACAGCAATGTCTGGAAACCACCGTTGACAAACTTGGTCTCTCTTTTAAAGCAATAACTCTACACGTTTACACTATCCTACACTATTTCAATAAGAATTATAGAGAATAATTAGCTAATTTGTCCTTCTTGATACGTTATCCCACTTTTCAAACAAGTTGGTTTTTATCAACTTTTTTTAACTTAATTTGTTGCATTTAACCTGATCATTCAAAACAAATTGCAACAAATAAATTGTGAAACCACATACTTAATTTAATAACTTAATTTGTATAAGTTACAACAGCATTTAATTTCCCTTTGGGTTCAATAATAATAAAAAAATTATTCAAATTTAATTTGTAGTAGAATTTAATAAAAGCCACAAAATGGTGCAAGAAGTAGAATTTAGTGTAGTTGGTCTCAAGTATCCATTTGTAGAGAAACTTCTCGTTTCACACTCAACAGGTTTAAGGACAAAGGCAGCTTAGTGAAATTAATTAATGCTTTACTAAAACATGAGAAGATCAGATGAAAACAAAGAGTCTGGTGTGGCAATTTTAATCCAGTCCCAGAATAGGAAGATCCTGATCCGTCTGATGATTCACTGAGGTCAAGTGTTCGGTTATCCTCGAAAGTCCTAATTACTATTTACATGTCTGCTGTAGTCTATCTACCTAAAGGCCACCATAAATGTGTTGATGTGAGAGCTGCTAAGTGACATAAACTCTGTGTCACACCATTGGAAATAACTTACTTTAGTGGAAAAACGACCACACTGTACGTTGGCTAGGTCTGCCCCAGTCCATATATGTGCTGACAGAAGCTATATTGATAATCTTAGCTTAGATGTGTCAAGGCCGTTGGGGAGTCACTGGATGTTATCCGCTTGTGATTAAAATGATTCATACGCTCTGGTCTTACACAACCGATATTTTAAATTAGCCTGCTTGCTTTCTCTCTACCAATCACCTAGCTCATATTCCCAGTGTTCGATCCATGTCTGTACCTGAGGATTGTTAAGTAAACTGGAAAACCTTTAAAACCAACATTTAAAGATTGAGCCTGGGATCAATATTAGCAGAGGGAATGAAAAGTGGTGTATGTTTAAAAGATGTTCTTAAATGGACATGCAGGGTTGACATGCAGTGATCCATTTACCTACAGCATACTCCATACTTAGTTCCTTATAAGATTTTCAAAACTAAATAGATAAATTGTGCTTATAACACACAAAGAAATCTGAAATACCCAAACGTTGACTTACATTGTAGGATGAAAAATCTTGAAAAATAAATATTTTAAACTATGCCACAGTTATCTGGATCTTCACATTCTTCCAGATTTATCCGGTATCTGTGGATTACATGTATTTTATTAATACCTACTTTACTTTTTTTAAGCTAACCGAAGTGCCTTGGAACTTTTAGTAATTAATTCATGCATTCCTGTTTACCTGGGGTTTAAATTTGAAGTGATACATGAAGTGAGGTCTAGTTCTCTGACCGACTCTTTAAAATGGAAAAGACATAAGAACATATCCTTCTACTAAACCATGTGAGTTGTTTTTATTGTTTTTATTACAGTCGCTTTCTTGCTAACCTATCATTCTGTATCCTACCCTGCTTTAAATTTCTCCACTTTATCCTCAACCTATCAGAGACCATTTTTTTCATGAATGGTCTCAAGCAAACTTCTCAGGTCTTCACAGCACTGCTGTATTTATTACTAAGCTAAAAGAAGTAGACTTATTACTATTCATGCAAGATCTGAAGGGAACTGCTGGAACTTAATTTTATTTACAAGTATTTGTGTGAAGAAGGTTTAAAACATGCACCCCAAACTTTTCAGATTTTCTTCAGTAATAGTTTGCATCTATCACTAAAGATCTCAAAAACATTGAATGTGGTTGGAACAAAATGTGGTAAAATTCAAGAGTTGTAAGGACACTGGGGGGGGGGGAAAATTTCATGGGCTTGGTGCACATCATTACCATGATCAATTGTTTAGGGTGATGCATCACCTAATGATCAATCATCATTAGGTGATAGAGGACAAATGTGAACAAAAGGAAAATTTTGCAGCCATTTCCAGAATTCCCTCTCATTATTCTAAATGTGTGACATGTTGATTTGTAAGAAAAACAAGATGCCAAACCAATCCCAATTTCAGCTTTTATTGCTTTCTGTGAATACTCTCACACAAGCTCAAGCCTTCGGTTTCCAGCAGTCAGTTTTACAAAGAATGTGGACATGTATTACAAGACTACAAAAGCTCATTTACAGATAAGTATTGTAGAAATCTCAATTATCAAAAAAAGACAGCTGTATGACTATGGTGTGACACAAAGAAAATAAAAGTACCTTGGATTTTGTTCCAGAGTTTGAATTGAAAATGATTACCCTTACAGCAAACCAAATTGCTCAGACAAAAGGGCTCACAAGTGGCAACTTGTTGTATTGGCGTCATACGGACAGGGAGCAAAACATTTCTCCAGCTTTCAAGAGTTTGAAGTGCACGATCACAGAAAATATACTTGCGACATGTGCTTTATTCAAAATAAAAGCAGACATGTATGATATTTTGGTTAAAGGTGTTCTCAATCATCTCTGAACAGCATTAATACAAAAGAAAAAGAAAGAAAAGAAACCTGAAACTACTGTGCTTGGCCTAAAACAACTTTCTCAAATGGTTCTCCTTGGAAATAAACACCAAATAACTAATGGAATTACTGAATACATTATCTACATTAAATTAGATGTTCAAATATAAAAATTAGGAAAGAAAAAAAGGTTAGAAAAAGGTTTTGTATATTGAAAAAGGCAGTCTTCGTTATGTCGTTAAATCATCTTTCAGTTTAAAGATCTGGTGACCAGTGGCCGTGAGAAGCTGACACAGAAGAGGACATCAAGATCCTTCTGAGAAGTCTCCAAGTCCACATGCCTCTTGGTCCTGAAGCCTAATGGTCCACAGTGCTACAGATATACCCTTGGGGTTCTATCATACAGTGTAGAAAACAAGTCAGTTGGCATTCCCGCCTTTCAAGCTAGTTGCCTTCTCCCAGTTCTAATGTTGTCTCTGTGCTGTCCGAAGTTTCAGCACCACCCTCTGTTGGCAGCTCAGGGGAATTACTGCAAGACGCTTTTTCGCTGGGTAAGCCCTCTGCATCGCTGCTGCTGCTGCTGCTGCTGCTGCTGCTGCTGCTGCTGCTGCTGCTGCTGCTGCTGCTGCTGCTGCTGCTGCTGCACAAAGCACTGTCCTGTTCGGAGGTTGAATGTGTCTCTGATGGAGTCGCTTGCTCCGACTGATCCACAGAGATGTTGCTCTGAACACTGGCGGCAGCACCAGCATCGTTCGACTCCCCTTCCCTCTCAGGTGGTTCAGACGGTGTGCTGCTTTCCCCTAAGAAGAGAGAAGATGTCACTTTTTAGTGATAGAATATAGCAAATATTCACAATTATTATGAAGAAATTGAACTGCAGTTAAATCAAAAATGCTTAGATTTTATTCCATTTTATGCAAGAGGAGAATGTCAAAGGGATTACATCCTTCATTTGCTTAACAAGATTAAATAAAAATTAAAAATCATTGAAAATGTGTTATATAATTAAATTTAAAGGGGAAATTCAAATTCTAACTAGATTTATTACAAATGTTGGGGTACTTTTAAAGTATTTAGTTCTGCCAGTTTTGAATATTTTGGCTTGCAGCTACTGAAAATGTGAAAATAAACTCTCTTTAGAAATAACAGCAGTACATCATGAAGATATTTCCATACAGAAATGTCAGCTTAGTGGAAACTATATCCACCTACTGTATTACAATGAATGCATAATACAGAAAGTAGAGGTTTTCCTTCCGCTTGAATTACTGCATCAATGTTGCTGAGGTGTTAGGACAGCCAAAGCTGCTTTAATAGCAGCCTTTATTGTTGGTTCTGATATTTCTCAACTTGGCCTTTGCTTCACAAGGGCGTGGAAATATCAGCTGATTGTTTAAAGTACCTTCCAGTTCAATTTCCATTATTATGCTTGGAAAGAGCCCTCTAAATCTATACAGAATAGGAATTTGGCTTTTAAATTGAATTACTGTAATAAACTTTTTGATGAGATTCTAATTTATTGGAGATGCATCTGTACATGAACCAGCTAAATGTTTATGTCCACCAATATATTAGTCATACTTGTGCTCTAAAAAATAATATTTGTGGACTGTGAAGTAGCATATTTTTAATGTGTCTTAAACAACACAATCCTGCTGTTATAGTGTTCTTAAGTACAAGTTGGCCTAAGTAAGGATGAACTCACACCTACCATGACTGTCTGATTTACAGGGTGTGTCATGATATGTTTCACTGCTGCACTCTTGACCACAAGTGTCTTCCTCTGACTCTGGTGTGTCTGATGAACTCTCTGGTTCTTTATGACAAGATGACTCATCTTCTTCCCTTTCCTTTTCGTCATCATATTCACCAGTCTTCCGTTTCTTGGCCTCCTGTTTGTCACAATCAGATTCTTCGTCTTCTTCTCGATGTTTGTGCTTTATTCCATGTTTTGGTTTCGCCTCGTCTTCTGAAGGTGGTGTTTCACTGCCACAAACAATAAATCGGTCAGTAATGTTCATAGTTTTTGGCTTTTATAAGACATAGTCTTAACTTAGCAAAATTGTATTACTAATGTGAGGACCTGGCTTTACACAGTCTCCTCACAGTGAATATACATAGTCTGTTTCATACTCGCTTACTGGTATCCCTAGTAAATGTTATTAAAATATTATTGTTTTGCAAAGATGATTTCACACTGAATTCTGAAATATTCAATCTTTAATCTCTGTACATTTTTACTCATCAGAAGTAAGGATCAAATGTTATGAAAAAAGTGTTATTACATACTTTCACACCTTACAATTTCTCCAAAAAAAGCATAACTGAAGCATTTTATTGCACAACTTCCTATTTCTTTGGGATAAAATCCAAAATGGCATGTAGAAGCCCTTTTTTGTCTTTGCTATTTTTCAAAGTGGAGAAAAAAGGAACATGGTGTCTATCTTATAAAGATGTATCTTTATAAGATAGAAAATGGCTGTTCATCAGAAACATTTGATGAGCAGCCATTATTACAGAGACACAAGATTGAATCAACTATTTCAAAACAGACAAGACTAAGACTGAGCAAGGTGAAACTCGGAATGAAAAAGTGTAAAGCACCTCATGTTTTACATGAGCGTCTGTGATGAATTGCTTAAAACAATTATCTCTTAGTTTTCCTTTCTAAACTCTTCTTTATACACATCTTTATTACGAATACCAGTAAACGTGGAGGATGCTGTACTACACGTTGACTCATAATTTACCTGGAATGATGCTCCTCTGTTTCAGTGATTCCATCTGGGTCTTTACTGGCTGGACACTCTGGGAGCCCGTTGGTGGAAAGTGAAGACGACGACAGCTTTGGTCTGTTGAGTGTTTTTGACAAACTTGGCCCATTCACATTTCGACTGCTGAAGAAGACCACAACAAACAGATTAATATCTACACATTCAGGAGTCTGTTTTTTTTTTTTTCTTAAAAGAAATATCAGCTATTTAACTCAGCAATTAGCCCCACCTTTCTGAATATAGAGATGAGTTTCCAAGAAACATCACTCCATTCATTCTATTCATAGTCGATGTCCCATTTTTCCTTTTAAGGAAGTAAGAAATTTTTTTTTTTTTTTTATCAATTTCACATTAATATTTGTAGCTGTTACAACTAACTTGACAACTGATTTACTTACTCTGATGTGGGATGCAGATAGCTTACCACCATTACATTCTGCAGTAAACAAAAGAAAAGAAAAATTCAGTTCAAAGCTTCAGACTGCACATTTATATCCATTACATAGCACCAAATGTGCGGAGTTTAGGCCTTAAAATGTTGACTGTATCTCACCTTTTCCAAACCTCTGAGAAACTTGTCTGTACCCGTGTAATTACGCTTGGGATCTGTAAGCAGCTCACACAGCCGCTGAATGGTGAATGGGATCCTGAAAAGGTTATCAGAGACATAAGTAAAAGTGATAAGTAGACATCTCGCTCCCAGCATCAGAACTGGAAAGTTTGTAATTTGATTCTTTTGCCCATGCTCATGCTTCACTCACCCATTATAACCATCCACTATCTTTAAGATCCTTTTCTTCATTTCTTCAAAGGGAATATATTCCACATTGGGATTGTGAGAGTCTCTCTCCTCTGGTGTTGAAGCATGAAAATCCTCCATCACTTTATCCAGCTTAAATAAAAAGTATGTTTTGAACTGTGACCAAGGGATCCTAAAGGGGATACGTAATAAAAAAAAAAGTACAGATAATAAGTAGCTATACATGTTCAGGTCTACAATGTGTGCACAGTTATTAGGCAAGTCTTATTGGATTGGTTTTATAAATCACCATCTACCGTGCTCTTGACTAATCCGAAATGTTAGTAAACCTTAAAACATGAATTTTTAAGAAAGCAAAAATGATGTTTGGGCTTTGTTAGAAGAATATCTATATTTGTACAATCATTACCGTGCAGAATTCAACTACATGAAAAACACATTTTCTCCATCTCTTTTTATTTTCATTGCTCAAGTGCTTAAGTGAATGAACAACTCAAAAATGTCTAATAAAGATTTCTGACATTTAACAAAAGTGAAACCTGTGGCTAAACAAGTCACATTTCTTTTCAATAACTATTACAAGCCTTCCATTCATGAAGTGTGTCAGCATCTTGATCTCTTGACAGTCAACTTTTTGTGCACCAAGAACTAGAACCACTTCAATTTCTTTTTCTGGCTAATTCTGTCTAAAAAAAAGAAACTGCCTAATAATGATGCATACCTTAATACATGGTGTTGATCTACTTCGGCCACACATTCATTACACAGATAAACATCATATGCTATATTTAAGACCATTAAGAATTCATGTTCATATGCCTTGAAGTTAGAAAACTAAGTCTAAAAATGATCCTACGGTCAAAATACTCACTTGTCTATGCCTAACAATTGTGAACACAGTGTAATTGAAAACATAAAGACTTTATGCTACTTGTGTCAGATTTGCAAGTTCCTACTTACATTGGTTGTCCTGTTTTGGCGACATGACACAGGAATTGCTCTAGAGCAGGACAGGTCTCCTTCTTGCCTCTTTTCTCAAAATCTGTAAATCACAGTGAGTAAAAAGGGTACAACTATTTATTATTGTTATTAAAATTCATTCAACTGTATAACATGAGCACATCAGAAGATACAAGAAATGAATCTAAAAGACAGCTATTATAAATGTATATCAAAATCTTAAAATAGCATCAAAAAGTGCCTTTAAAACACACAGTGATATATTTCAGTTGTCCATTTCTGTTCATTGTTTTACTTACAGCTGATGAAAACCTTCTATTTAGTTTCTCAGAAACTATTATGAGACCAATAAAAAAAATGTAGCCTGGAAATTAGATTTATTCTTCGGGGTTTTCATTTGCTGTTAGGCATAATCACTAAAAATAACAAACATATATTACCAAGAAATATTTACATGAGTTTTCCTTTTAGGTCTGAATAACTAAAATACATCAACTTTATTGACAGTCAAAAAGCAGCCCGTCAAACCACAACTGCCACACATAACACAAAATGGTATTAGGTTAAAAATTTCAACTGCTCTTTTCTTTAGTTATGAAATAGGAAAATATAAATAGCTGGGAGGAAAACACAAATAGTTAGATATTGAAATAACCACATTACTTTCAAATCAAAGTTAGCAGTTTATTGCTAGCAGTGTGTTCCTGAGCTAGCTGTTTACATAACCGTCTCGGATTGTACATAAACGGGTTAAAAGTGTGGAATGTGACGGACTTGTTCCTACCAAAAGGTACATGTAAAGCAGCCAAGCCAAACTAATGATAACACCTCATTGCCTAACAATATTCTTAACACATTTTTCATAAAAAGCTGCATTTCGTAGGGTAACGTGCGTTACGTAGTTAGCAAATAATACCGATTTATCGTGAGGGGAAACACTTAACTTAAACATTTTAAAAAACGAATTATTATTTTTTTTCATAAATGTAAACATTGCCTTGAAACGCTTCCAATATTGCGTCGATATCCATTGCTGTGTCCAGTCCTCAGGCAGGAAATGCTTGTTGGTTAGCAGAACAGCTAGCAGGTAGCAATCCAACAAAGCTGCTGGCAGTGCAGAACTGCGCATGTCTACAATTACGTTTGCACTTTTGAGGAAGAGAGATGGACATCAACAAAGGTCTTTATGCAACTTGGTGTTAAAAATAAATCCGCGTAGTTCAAGAACATCTCGATCCAATAACGCGAATAGCTATATTTGCATTTTCAGGCATGTCGTGACTTTGGCAATAGAAGTTTCGAGATCTATCTGGTGTTTTGTGGGCTGGCGGTTATAGAGCGTTTTTCTCTGCTAACTGGGGATTCGACCAATGACTCATCAGCTGGTCTGGGATAAATTTACCCAGGGAATCTATATATATGTATAAACAACCATAACTCCGAAGAAACGCCTGCGTGGGAATCCTGCTCTATGATAGTTCTCCACTAAAAAGTTCGTCGGTTTTCATGGTTAATAATGGCAGTGCCATTAGCTGCTTTACAACTGAGCTCACCACCAAGCCTGGAGAAAAACATTCATATCAACGACAGAGATTTAGGAAAAATTTCACACAACACTGAAAATGACATCCTGCCATTACATTCACCCTGGACTTTCTGGCTTGATAGGTAAGAAAGAATTTATTTTCTCCAAACTGCTTTGTTATAAAACTGTTGTCGGCGACAAGTGAGCGAACTCTTTCGAATTGATTGACTCTTAAAGGAATAAAAGACAAACAGACCTAGAATTTCTCTTTGTTATCCATTTGTTATTATAAGATTGTTGGAAAAGGTGGAAAAACTTGTTTTTCTTAAAATAATAATAATTAAAAAAAAACATTTTTATATAATATACAACTGTGGGAAATTACAAATATTTTTTATAAGTTAAACAAAATAACATTACAAGAAAAACTGTAATTTGAAACTATTAGTAACTCAAAAATAAATCCAAAGTAGAAATCAGGTCAGTGTCCGCTTTCATAAGCACGGCATATTGTTCTCAGCTTGCTGAGTCATTGCTGGTGTCTCTGTTCCATTTCAATTTTACCAACAAAGCTTTTGTGGGTCAAGTTCTTATTAACTGTCAAGTGGGGAAAAAATAAATAAAAGTCACCCTTTTATGTATAATTTTATATAATCAGAACAGTGTTGATTTCAAGCAACATGCTCTATGTGTACATGTTAGTGGAGCATAGGGGAGACCGTGTTAAAATGGGGTCAGTCCTGTTTACTGGCTTGTCAGTCATCTGACTCCCTCCTAACCTACCGCTGCTCTAATTTATCTGCACAGAGGGCAGCCATGATATATCTGATACAAAAAAAAATTACAAAAAAAGTAAACATGTTCACATTTAAAATAAAATATACTTACAGACATTTGATTTGTCTTTGTTTGGCAAGATCTCTACCAGGTACAACAGCAGCTGAGTGCGAGTCAAACCTGAAGAAAATCTACACAGTGGAGACTGTTCAGGTAAGATGCGAGGCTATTTTTAGTATGTTTCGGTCACAATTTAATCATGTATGGAAAAGAAAAATAAGTCTGATTCAGAGTTTTAGTTATTTGTTGTAATAATAAAAGTGTCATAAGGCCAGTCAGTCATATTTGTTTTGACTGTTGTTGATGTCAAACATTAACCCGCTTTCTCTTTTCCCCTTGAAAACGTAACAGAACTTTTGGCGAGTTTACAACAACATCCCGAGTGTTTCCAGCTTGCCTTTGAGATGTAGCTATCATCTGATGAGGGGAGAAAGGAAGCCACTCTGGTGAGTTCTGCTGGCACGGTCAAATTAGATAACCGTTGGAGAAGACATCAGGTGACCAGACTAGGATACCTATGAGCTATTAGGCTATCCTGTGTGTCAACGCTCCTTAATATGTTGGACATTACTTTGAGTGAAGAAGTATTTTAAGTATCGGTGATGGAGTGAGCTTCATCAGATTGCAGGAAGCTTGAACAGAATACAGACAAGTTTCTCTATGTTATCCTTTCAAACTTTCAACATTGTCTGCCACTGAACATGTTGGATTTGGAACAGCTGCCAGCCTTTTGGAAATCTTAAGGGTTGAGACAAGGACCTATACAGTTAAGATCAAAATTATTCATACCACTGGCCAATTTAGATTTAAAATTACTTCCTTTCACCCAAGAAGTTTGTTTCAGATAGGAAATGAGACACGCATCACTTGACAGTTGACAAAAACCAGAGGCCGGGATATGGGAAAATAAAAAAAATGATCGGTGCGCTTGTATTTTTATCATGCTTGCCAATATGAATATTTGCTCATGTTCCTTCTGGTTTGCATACAGGGAAGAAGAAAGCAATGCTAAAGGCGGGGTTTGGAAAATGAAAGTACCCAAAGAGTGTACTGTAAGTGAAATGGCACTCTTCTGTACTTAACATGCAAGTTGATTTCTCTGTTTGCTAAATCTTTCCTCATATTTACAGTCTTCTGTGTGGAAGGAGTTACTATTGGCCACAATTGGAGAACAGTTCAGCGATTATTGTGCTTCAGGTAAATGTCTTTGAATAAATAAATTCAATGCTGAAATAAACTGGCTTAAAGTTTGCATGAAAACAAGCCATTTTAGAAAATGGATAAGTCAATAGGTTATTATGAGAACATGGCTAATCTCATAAAACTGCATGCATCTACAATCAGAACATTTCTGATGACCCCTAAGACAACTGTAAGAATTATGCAGGGTCGATGACCTAAGTTTGTTTTCCAACATGGACGGGAATAAAGACGTGAGCTATCTGTAATTTTTCAGTGACATATTATGCTACAATAAAATCTAAATTTATTTTAGAAATTTTAGCACATCTCTCCCATGGGAACCAATAAATGTGAAGGGTGATGTAGATCCTTAGAGATGAAGCTGCGTCCTAACTGAATAAAAAAAAAAAAAAACTCTTCCGGGCTTTTAAGACATGCTTAGAGACTAAACATCTAATCAGTTTTATGACTCTCCATTGGTAAATTAAGTCAGCTTCATTTATCTAGCAAAACTCAAAACATGCTGTGTAATATTTACCTAAACTTAGAGTATAAGCAGTATCAATCCAAATACAAAGACTTGGGGAACTCCGTGTCTGGTATTTGGACAGATTGTATTTGTATGAAAAACTGTGATCAATCATGTTTTAACTGGGGTACTGCTCTTACATAAAAAAGTGGATATTGTTAATGTCTTTATTGCACCATGAGCAGTCTATCTCATTGTATGTTTCTATGTGTACAGGAGACGAGGTAGTTGGGGTCAGCATCAGCGTACGGGACAGAGAAGACATCGTTCAGGTCTGGAATGGGAACGCTTCCTGTGCCGACGAGTCAAACATCTTGGGAAAGATCTACGAGCTCCTGCCTCAGACACCTTTTAAAGCCGTGTTTTATAAACGTGAGTATCTTCTTTCCATTGAGCATTGTCTTCTGTATGTTTTTCATAGCACACTTTTGAGTACTTTGCTTACCTTCTCCTCTTGCATCTTCTGTTATCTTTAGCACACAAGGAGCACCACGCTTTCGAAGGCGGTCGAACAAGACACTAAACATTTTTGCACATTAGATGTTTTCAGTTGTGCAACAATCTTCTCTGCTGATAAAGTTATTACAGACTACTCAGGTAGACTACAAATTGCTATAGTTCCTCTTAAGTACCTCAATTTAGCCCAAGTGTTTTCAATCAGTAGAAATTCATTTCATCTGAGCATCACTGACATTTGCAAAAAAAAAAAATAAAAAATACAGTTATACGGAGTGGTTTAGTTTTATGGTATCTTCGAATGTATTTCTGTTTTTATTGCACTGTAAAGTTTTATAAACGCAAAATAGATCTGTTAGTTTTAGATAATCTCTGACATCCAATCTGCCGTTAACCTAGCATAGACCCTTCTGATGTAATTAATGACAGGTACTGCTGATTTGTATTAAATAAATGATCTAAGATTATACAACGACATAATACATAGGTGATATGTTCTACAAAATTTCTTTTTGAGTTATATTTAGGAAAATGTTACATGCACTACAGATGAAAATCCTTTGTACCATATAGCATTTCATCTTCCTCGTGTTGGATTTTTGTGTGAAGGAACTTGCCATTCTTAGAATACGTAGCAAAACTCTAAACATGCTGTGTAATGTTTACCTAAACTTTACACACAGTAATCTCCATGCACAAAACACCTTGATTACATTCTGGGAAATATATGCAATTACGTTTAACTAGTAGAATGTTCTTTGTTGTGGTTGCCATTTTTGCTCTAAATTAAGCACCTTGTTTAATTTTTTTCTATCTGTGTGCAAGACATCTGATAATCTGACAATTATGAGACATTGTGATACTGGAGACCAAATACACTTCGGTTTTGTGTCACATTTTGATGAAATGAGAAGTTTCTCTGCTTGTTTTGATGAAAATGTTGTTGTCAAAGGGGTTTTTAATTGACTTTTGTTCGGATTAAAATTCTAACTGGTCCTTGGAGGAAAAAAACCCTGAGAAACTTGATCAGATAACTGTCACAGGAGTTGTTTATATCTTATGTTACTGGCCTTAGGTGTATAAAGTAAAATGAAAATATCAAAGATTGTTGGTTGCTTCAACACGAAATTTCCTGCAGTTTCTGTGATATTCATGTGTGGGTTTCATTCCAAGTAGTATAACTAACACTGCATCAGGTACAGCAAATGTAATTTGTTTCTGCAGAGCCGCTTAGCCATTAAGACTAAGGCAGTGCTGTCTTCACTTCTCGTATTAAAACATGTATCAACAAGAAAAATCATTTTAATACAACACATTTAATCAAACTTAACGTCATTTTGTCTTTGTTAGTAATTCCTGTGCTCATTCAAATGTACACTGTTGTTAAGAATAATAATGTTCTTGTCCTGCACTTATATACTGCTGACAGACGACTTCAGATCAAAGATCTTGTAACTGATTGTTGATCTCAAATTGTGCCTTGTTTATTGATTGTTTATGGTGTTAAAGTTCTCCCTGTTTGTGGTTTAATTGTGCACCTATTCATGTTTCACTGTTAGATTTCCATGTGTTGGAAATGGAAACAATAAAGA